GGGGCTGGTTGATCTCTCAAGATGTGATTTGCATTAGGTGAAACCGGAGAAGCTGGACTGGCTGGAAGCTGAGAAGTTATTTGACAAGGGCAGTCCAGGATAAAGGATGACCTAGTACTGACCAATATTGGGTCAGGAGGGGAGATCTGACCAGCAGAGGATCAGTTACCTTATCCATTAATTTAAACTGAGTTGTGCTTGTGATTTAATTGATTCAGACTTTACCAGAAATAGACTCTGTGAAAGACCCAGAGATTGGAGTGAAGAGTGAATCATGTAGGTAATTCTTGATGTTTGAATGGTGATTCATAAGTACATCATCTAGGTGAGTAAAGGACCAGGGTGTAGGGGAGGAGAAGCCCTGGAAAGGACCCATAGCAAGAGATAGCAGTGAGAGACTTCACTAACAGGGCAGACATTCTTCCTGTCTGCAATAGTAACAACAAAGAGGGTGGGTGACAAATTAACAGACAGTGGAGTGTAAACCCTAGGAAGAAAATCAAGTTAATGACTAATCAACCACTACTGCTACAGTTACATTAACCAGTGGATCAGCAAACTCCTACCTTTTACTGCTGACCCTCCTCACACAACCTTACTTAGAGAGAGGTAGTACTGAGACTTCATCTTCATGAAAGTTATTTGGGAGATTAATTTAAAACAAATTGTAAATCACCTTTCTTTCTTTCCAAAACCCTTTTTTCTCTCTAGGGGAGGAAGAACATCACATCTTGGATATTTCAAGGGCTATGTTATGTTACCCAGTAAAACATTTAGGTAATCTTGGCATCTCTTTGTTGTTAGTAAGATGCAATTTTAAAAGAGAGGTCCAGAAAGTAGCTTAATGCATTGCCAATGTATTTTAACATCTATCGTACATGTGATGTACTTCACTTACTTACCAAGTATCAAGGCTTATTCTGCCACAGCTCAGACTGCCTTTTTCTGAGGTTGGCAAGGTAGAGATTTGGAGGAATCACCTTGCTTTTGTTAAACATTATGCCTTGAACTTGGCCACAAGGTTGGGTGACAATTTAGGATAGCAGTGTTTCAATCACCAGTAGTTAGTGGCATCTAGTACTCCTTTATCCCACCTTCCAGGTGAGCACCAAAAACAGTCACTGAGAGTGAGATCCACAAGAACACTGACTGTGAGTCTTCACACTGTTTTGTCCATGTGGATTCCACAATGTGTTTATCCTGTTCCTGCTCTTTAGTGTCACCCTTCCCTAAAATTCTGAATGAATGGGAGAACTGAGGTATTATTGTACATTCTGTGTCCTTCATACTCTTAGGGTAGGGGATGAGTAAGGAAGTGAAGGATGCAGCTGTGGCTTGATAAACAATGCTATTCAGATATTCCAGTCTTGCATATATAAGCTGCATATACAATTTAAAGTCATACCCATGCAGACAAAGCCTCTCAAAGGCCCATCATTACTACAAGGTAAGTAAGCATTTTTTAATCACAGACCCTTTGGGGGTTTTTGCTTTCCTTTCTAGTGGGAGCCTTTACTTGGAATCTTTTATGTGTATATTAACAACCTTTTACAGAAGCAGGACATGGGCTGCCATGGTTCTCCTACTTCACTTGTGGCAGGTTAGGATGTTATTTCTTGTGTTCTGTCAGGGATGATGGTACTTTTATGAAGGGTTTAGATTATGGATTGCATAGGATGGTTTGGATAGAGATGATTCTGCCTCAGGCAGGGGGTTGAACTACATGACCTCTGGAGGTTCCTTCTAGCCCTAGTTCTCTATGATTTTTATGATTACTGAGAACTTGGGCTGCTGCCAGGCACCTGTGAAAATGTTCAAAACTCTGAAACTTCAGTCTGAATGCTGAAATTCCACAGTAGAAGGAATGTCACTTGTGATATATTATTTGCTATTTATTATCCTTTAATTTAAAATGACTAATATATCCAATCAAGAAACAGAGAAATGTGACTTAAGTGATCTGCCACACCCTAAGGAAAAATACTTGAAAAACTCATGAACAACACACATTCTACACTTGATAGGTTCACAGTATACAGCAAATCCTATCAAATATTGAAAACAAATTCAAGATGTTGGGATTAGAACACAAAAAACCTGCTAACCAAAAAAGGGGCAGGGACTGTGACAGAAGCATGACTGGTCATAATTCTATAATGCTCTTACTTTTATATATAAGCACTTATTGCACATGCTTTGCAGATCCCTGAACACTTATGCATCCACACTGCACAGGAGTAAGGTCACAAGCTGTATCTACGTGCCAGAAATGGCAGTTAAGTGTCTGGGCAGCTGCCATGTGAGCATGCAAAGTGAAAGAGGGCTCTTTTGTTAGTTTTCCCACAGAAAAATGGTCAGAAAGAAACACAAGAAAATTAGAAATCCTAACGAGAAAGAGGTCCTCCATTTTAATTAAAATTAAAATAGACCATTCCGTTCAATTAATTAGTTGTCCCTAGAAAGGTAGGATTCCATTGAGGGCTCAAATATTATTAAAGGCAATGGAGCACTTGCTACATAAAAGATCCCAGTGCATTCTCATTGGATTACAACGGGATCTTATACTGTGCCATAAGCTAATCAGGAGCCAACATGCTTAGTTCAACTTGTCCTTTCACTGAGTTTGATTGGGTTTGAAGGAGTAGATTTATAAACGTATTTAGATTCCTAAAAGAAAGTGCAGACATATGGGGTTTTTCAAAAGCACCTAACCCCATTGATTCCCACCAGGAAAACCTGACACCATTAGCACTCAACCCCTTCATGGTTAAGAGCCTGGAGATAGGCCCAGCAGTGTGACCGGTTAGTCCTAGCCTGGAAACAGTTCCTGTAGTCAAAAGCTGTTGACTGAAAATGTTTTTATCCCCAGCCTTTAGCTAAATATTTGAGCTCAGATGTGACAGCTAATCCTGACTCCCCTGCAGTGCCATGTGGGGAGGTGACCCCTGCTGGCTATGGAACCTCTTTGTGCTATTATGTACCCTTATTAGGGCCAGATTCTGTCCCCTGGTAGCATATACAGAGCTCCTGCTAACATCAGTCGGATCCAGGCAGGCACCAGAAACAAGCTGTAACCCTTAGCCCCCATTCCCAGCAGGCTGCTGCTTCTCTAAGCACTAATGTATCTGTCATTCCAGAAAGGGGCAGGCTTTCATCTAGATTTGTTCTGTGTTTCCCTGCTGATGATCCTCACATCTATGATGGGCCTTCCCTGGTATGTGTCTGCCACTGTCATCTCCCTGGCTCACATGGACAGCCTGAAGAAGGAGAGCATAACTTCTGCTCCAGGAGAACAGCCTAAGTTCCTTGGAATCAGGTATTGTGGAAAGCTATTTCCCAGAAAAAAAATCTTGGCAGTTTCAGGACCAGTCCTTGCAGCTTAGGATCTGATTGGTATGTTCTCCAAGTGCCAGCCTGGCCATGGAATCATACAACGGGGATGCTGCAGGCTTTTCACAAGATATCACTGTTAGAAATCACTAAACAGTGAAAAGTAAATGTTTCCTGCTGATGATCTGATTCTAGAAGTTATTTGGAAATGGACAGCCTCTTTGTCTTCCTAGCCATTCTGATCCCAGATTTCAGGGTACAGGCAAATTGCCTGTGGGAGTCAAGGCAGAGGCTCCCCTTACTCTAATTCAGGGCTGCACAGCTGGGAAGCCACTTACAGGAGTTTTGCCTTCCTCCAGAACACCAGGCATTGTCAGAGCAAGGCTCTGAAACTATTTGTATGGTAGTTCTTTGGAGCATTCTGGATGTAAAAAATTGATGAGTGTATGGACCACACCTTGTTGGTAATTAATAAAAGTTGGTAATTAAAGGCAGGAGGCTGCCCATTGTTGCACCCCAATATTAGGGGGTGTCCACGGCTCCATACCACCCCTACACCACAGCCCAAGCCTCACAGATGGCATCTCAGGCAGTTAGTTGGACCCTCGCCTTCACCCATTAGCTGTGGCCCCCAACCATGGGGACCTTCAGCTTCCGTAAGCCCTGGCCCGGTCTCAGGCCCAGTCGGGACCCCAAGCTCCCTTGCTTATCGTGGGCATCTCTTGCGGTGGTCCCCTGGCCCTTTTGACCCTTAGGTCTTGGCCCCAGCATTGACCAGTCAGGTCCCTTAGCAGGGTCTTCGCCTCTTGCCTGCATTTGTGGAGTGGGGCTCCCCCATTCCTGGCTCAGGTGGTCCAGGGAGTGTGCCTGGCCCTGTGGGGTCTCTCCCCAACTGGCTCAGGCACTTCCCAAAGCTTACCTGGCCTCTACTCCTTTCTTTGATTTTATTCCCCTCGCTCACACTACAACTGGTGCTCCCAGGTCTCACGGGGACTCTCACTCCCCCCCGGAGCAGCAGGTCATTGTGCTCAGCCTTAGACGTTACTCTCTACCCACCAGAAGGTGAGGGCTGGGGTTAAGGTGCCCCTACTCACCTTACACCAGGGTGATCACTGGCCTGGCATTTCCTGGGGGCTCCCGCACCACTGAGAGCCCCACCAGGCCACCCACTCCCAGCAGGGTGCAGTTTTAGGTCATGCCCAGGACCCTCCAAGCCATCCCCTACAGTTCCTTCCTTACATCCAGGAGACAACCAGCAGCCAGGCAATGAAACTACCTCATCTTCTGCCAGCAGGGAACTGATCCGGTTATAAAGGCAGCCAGGGATTTAAAATGGCTGCCGCAATCAGGCACCTGCTGGCAGCTTGGCTTAGGCCCTTAAAGTGGCAGGCACCTATAGTGCCCTTCCACAGATGGTATTGCATGTCTTCTCAGCCCTTTGGAGTTTTCTTCTGCTTTTGGAACCCCTGCTTTGACGCCTCTGGTATTAAGGCAGAGAAATAGTGGCAGAGTGGATTCAGAGAAGGTTAGTAAAGTGGGGCTGGGCAACTGAACAGCCCTATATGACCTAGGGTCTGCAGTTTCTGGCTTTATTGTCATCTTAGCCCTAGCAGTGAAGCAGAAATATAGCCTTAGCAGATGTAGAATGGATATGAAAGATGGTGTTACTTTTAGGCGGTGCTGGAGCAGATTGCTGCTTGTCTGCTTTGAACCTGGGCACGCATTGGTGGGGAGGGAAGGAAGAGCTGGGGTTCAAACTTGAAATGCCAGGTGACTAACTGCAAGGATGCTTGTCCACAGAGAGCAGAGGCTGACTGGTTTGGTGGTCTTTATCCTCACAGGAACATCTGTTTTTTTGGCACCTATTCTCAAGGTAATAAAGCTTTGTGTGCTTCACTTCTTTATTCTATGAGTGGGAAAGTATTGAAATATCAGCAGTAGAGCTAGCACGATTCCACGTTTCATCATTCAGCTAGTTATTGCTCACTAATCATTCCATCACAAGACAGGATTAGGAGCATTCTACCATGTATGTATACAATTCAAAATGGACAGCAGGGAGCAAATGTAACAATATATAGTTTTAAAAAGTGTGAAAAAAGCAATACAGCTGATAAAATACTGTAAAAGCAATGGTAAGGAACAGTGCCCTGAGAGTTTGGATGGACTAGATGAGACCCAGTAAGTTTTGTCTTCATTCTAACTTCTGTGGACCAAATGCTAAAAGCTTAAATTTGTCTTACTCACTCCTCACTTGGATCAAACCCCCCCTCAAGATAATGTGTATCACAGGCCTGAGCATTTTGGACCAGTCCGTGTAGCAGTTTCTTCCCCAACAAATGTCTCTTTGCCATGATCACTATGCTATCCTTGGGGAACAACTGGAATGAGGAGCACCAAAAACCCCACAGAAACAATTTCCTCCCAAAAAACTACAAATCTCAAATTTAACTGACATGTTTAACATACAAAGCATGTGTATATAAGGAAGATGACAAAACTTTTGTGATGCTACCTTTGATTTTTTTTGTCATATAGTATGTAGTGTGATAGGGGGACAGTTAGGGTGTTTGTAGAACCTTAACTCAGAATTTCCAGTTTTCAAATATTTGTGTTCTGAAAACATTATCTTTTGGCAGTTTCCTGCTTTTTAAGTATGTTTTTGATCATCACAACATTCTTACGAATTGTTTCCTGAAGAAACTAATCACTTCACAAACTTATCTTAACAAACTTTGCTGCCTGGGAATATATTCAGAGTCTGATTTCTTTGCAACTGTTAAGCAATAATCATAAAATTAAAACTGAAATGAAATAAGTAAACAAAACAGCCATATTTTAAGATTGATCTGGAAGATAAAGCTTTTAGAATTTAACCTCATGAAGAGAGCTGCATTTAACAACGCTAACACATTACATTGATTTTTTTCCAGTATATTCCTATGCCTGTGTTGTATGGTGTCTTTCTGTACATGGGTGTGGCTGCTCTTAGCAGTATCCAGGTGAGTATAAATCCAGCCTTTGTGCCACATAGCTCACCTTGACAATGTGCCAGGGTCTGGTTTTTCTATGCGTGGGGTGAATTTGGGGAATGTAGCATTTTTGCTCTGTAATATATATTACATTGTATAACCTGATTTTTAAATTTGCTTGAGTGTGTGCATTAATGTGTGGCTTTAGTATGAGTGGTGATACCACAAGTGCATTGTATAAATCACCCAAACAAAAGCTGACAGACTCAGTGCCCCCACCAACATTATTCTCTTCGCTACATTTGTCACACTAAAACTGTCTGAGATGCATTTTAGGGAGTATATCCATCCTAAACCAGTTGGATGGTAGTTGGACGTCTGGTGTTTTATGGCCTGCAGGGCTAGAATTGGAGGCTTACCCTATTTGAAAGAAGAAAGATTTTTAACAGGGCATATTAGCAAGGAAAGGCCTGAGCTATCAGTCCTTGAGATCACAATATCCTTATTTATCAAAAAGATATTTTAAGCCAGTTTCAGAGATTTCTATAATTGTGCTCATTTATATTTTTTCCAGCTTTGGGCAGTCAGCGTAGGTCCTGGGTAAAAAAACCCCTGGTTTTACAGTACAAATAAAATAAATATACACTTGCTATAAAACATTCCACAAATAGCAGCTTGGGACCACTTGTGGCTAAGAGGGAATACCTGGCTAGGTAGGGTGGGGATGGTATAAAGGATCTATTGACTCCCTTTTGGATGACCTGCATAGCCCACTTGTGGTTTCAGCATCCCAAACACATGCCAATGAGACTGTTCTCCCACACTGACCCATCAAGCATTTCTATATTCAGCATTCACACCAGGTCTTTTGACAGCTCATGTTTTCCAGGAAAGGCCTTAAGGAGATGTTTTTAGAGAGATCTTAAAAGTATTACAGCCCTTCTCTTTCTGCCACCTGTCCAAAGAGAGACCTGACCTGATAGAAATATGGTCTGAAGGAGTCTGTGTGAGTGATCTCAGTGCTGGGGGGGAGCAGAGAAGCTGGCACACCAATTTCCCTGTAGAACAACAATGCCAATGGACATATTCAAACTAGGGAAGTTGAAATAATCATCCTTTCTGTGTTCACTGAACCAGAGTCTGTAGTAACAGAAGGAAATCTTATGAGGGAGGAGTGGTTACAGATGATAAGCCAAAAGAAAGACAGATTGAAATTGTGTCTCCTTTTCCACATAATCGTAGTGCAGAAATGAGTTTAGGGTTTTGTAGGTGTGGTTTCTTTCATTTATTTTACTACCTGACAATTATGAGGAATGTAAACTCTTGTGTTTTCCCTATGTTTGCTGGAGGACTTCTCTGATGACCCAGGAAGGAAACTGGAAAAAAGGGTAGTTGAATCATTCAACAAAGAGTACTTTTCTCCCAAGGTATCAAATCTAAGTGCTAATGCGTTCAAGCAAAATGCGTTCAAGCAAAATGAGGTTTTAAGCAATCCAAATAAAAGCACTTTCATCTTAGATTACTCTGGGTTCACCTCATGATGCTTCTGACTTCATAACCCTGACAGTTCTCTGGTCAACTATGGAGTCTTCCAGGAAGAATAGGGCTGGTAAGACCTGAGTTTCTAATGCAAATAAGAAAAGTAAGAGAATTTTCTTTTTCTTGGTAATAAAACTTTTTCAAGCTTCTTTGTCCAGCAGAAAAGGACACAACCAGTTTTCCTCTTTTGTCAGGCAGAAGGTAGGGCAGGATGGCACTTAGAGACTAACTGTTTTTTTCAACATAGCCAGAAACTCAATGCCAGAGACAATGGGGAATCCTGGCTTTCCACGCTTGTGGATCTTAGGTAATAAGTGGATGCTTGGCCTGGGTAAGAGGAGTGGAGCAGCTGGGGGTGCAGGGTGGAAAGTACATATCCTCTTTTGCTTTTCAGAGGTAGAGTTTTTTTAAAGAGGCTGGGTAATTCCCTCCCGTATTGTTCTGTGGGGTCCGTGGTCAGGATTTTGTAGAACTCTGTGTTGGAGTGGTCTCAGCCTCCTGTACATGTACTGTTTTGACCATGACAGTAGTGAGACCCTCCCTTATCAGCCTGTTGTGTGATAATATCAGGGTTGTTTTTAAGGCCAAGTATGGCTCTCTGTCCTATAGGACTAAGGTTGTAACACAGGCATTGCTTTATGGCAATCTCAGGATTGCCACAAAGGCAGAAACAACTTATGTACAGGTCCAAAGCAGGGCTGTGGCCCTCAGGTAGAGTCCAGAAGATGTCCTTCCTCCTGTTCTGTGTAGGGGTCAGGTCTGTGGTGCATTGGTAATTGCATGGCTCCACGTCATGGTAATCCTTCCTTTGTTAGAGGCGGCAGATAAAAGCCTCAAAGTCCCCATATAGCAGTAGCTTATTGAATTGTGTAGTGGGGCAGAAGAAAAGTCCACATGATAGTCCTGACACATCAAGGGAGCTGAGAGTGTGGCTGGATAGATTGATGATATTTCCTTTGGATTTTGGGATTGCTGTTGGAGCATTTAAATTTGGAAGTTTTGCTTCCTTCATCCTCCCTTACGGAGTTTGCAAGAGTTTTCATGGCTAGATGCAGAGATCTCGTCTTGGTAAACAGCTGTTTTGTCTGGATAGTTCCTTGTGCTGCTAGTTCTGCAAGTCTGCTGCTAATTTGTTTCTGTTTTGCAAGGTGTCACCCTGTCCTACCTTCTGCCTGGCTTCTGACTATTGTGGCTAACCACCCCTCCACTCTCTTTTGTCAGTTATCTTTAACCTAGAAAGAATATTTACATAAAACCGCTCTCGGTGAAATATGAGGAGGTTGGAGCAATCTGTACAGAGCGGTCCATGCTGTGTCCCACTGGTACTGCTGGATGTCAGACAGAAACTCCTGTTTGAAAAGGAACCAGCACCTGGGAATATCACAGAAAATCCCAGGGAGCCACTGCCAGCTTCTTGTTTTTTCAGTGCTGAAAACCCCAAGCATTATGACAAGAGCCTTTGAGTTCAGGGAAACACTGTCCAACTCCCAGGAGTGGAATGCCATATTTACATGCATACCACGTGTACCTTTCCCCAAAAGTCCTCCAAAACTAGGGAGTGTGTCTGAAGCAGGGAAGCTGTTTTTCTGCATGGACCAGAAGCATGGAGATGGTGTATAATGGCTCCTTCTTCTTTTCCTTCTCTTTTTGTGAGCAGACACATGGAAAGAGCAGAGCTGAGTCTTCAGCAGCAGCTACAGTCAGTGGTATAACTGATGGGGTGACAGGGGCAGCTGTCTTGGCATCAACTTGAAAGGACAGAAAAACAATGCTTGTCACTATAGCCACACAGTCACACCAGTGGTGGGGCAGCAACCAGAAGTTTCCATTGCCCCTGTGTGTAGCAGCCTCCCCTTCCCTCCCCTCACTCACCCTCCCCTTCCTGCTCAAGCAAAAGCAGTCAATTAATCTGTGAAGGGGTTTTTTGCCTGAGATAGCTTTTGCCTGAGCAGGAAAAGGAGAGTGAGTGAACTGAATATCAGGCTCTGTCGCTGCTCCAAGCTCCCATAACTCTGGAAAAATCTTTTTTCTTTCTTCATTCTGCCTTACCAAAAACAAGTTGCATGTCTTACTTGAGGGCAGGGGGTGGGTAGTGTGCCAGAAAATATGGTATGCCTCTGACTCTGAGCCTTTCCTAGAGCTCACTTCCAGCATATGATGTCAAACTATTATACATGCACACACATTTTTGAGCAGGTCTTATTTTAAGGTACATCAGAGCTGCTGCAGGTGAATGAAGCTGAGAAATGGGAGAATAAATGCATTTTGTGATGTGCTGTTTTGAATACCAGCCCCTCACTCTTCATAGACTGTGAGGCGTCAAGAGTTGTAGCATGTCCAGCCAGAGGTGTAACTGGTCATTACTGTACTCCCTCCACCATACCCTGCATCTTCCCTTCAGTGGCTCTGGCTCCAGCTCCAGAAGCAGAGAAGGCAGAGCAGTGATGGTAGAGCAAGGGCAGGAGCCAGAGGTTTGCTGCTGCTGGGAGAAATGTCACTTCCATTTTTTGCCACTGACGTGTGTCAAATACCAAAAAAACTACAGTCTTCAATACCAAAGAAGGAGGTGATATCTCCCTCCAGCAGTACTGAACCACCAGCCACTACTCCTCCTGTGTATGCCACCATCACTTCTCCAACCTCACTGCTGCTAGAGTTGGAGCCCCTGCAGGAAAGCTGTAGACCATGGGAGGAAAGGCAGGATAGGGGGACAGGAGAGTAAAGTGCCCTCCTTAGTTCCATTCTGGTACCTCCCTTCTGCCCCTTAGGCTACACCTGGGGTTTATGCCCTGCTCACAAACCCATCATTACATTACTGGGCCCAGTGTTTCTAGCTCTCAGCACTTTATTGAAAGCACTGAGAGACTTGGTGTTCTTTCAGCTGCAACTGCAAGAGTCAAGTGATTATGTGAATATTCTTTGGGTGTCAGGTGCTTGCATTTCTTTGTGGATCTGTATCTAAGAACCAAGAAGGAAATTCAAATAACTCAAAAATTATTATTATTTTTTTTTAAAAATCTCGTGAGTTTTGGGGCTTGTTTTATGATTTCTGAACACTTGGGGTCCGCAGCACTGACTGTTGTGGGAAGGTCTTTGTCACACACAGATAACAGTCTCATCTGAGCTCTGATTTTGGAGTATGACATCAGTGGCGTTGAGGAGGGTGCAACCAAATACAGTGTTATACCTTAGAAGAGAAAATGGTTTGAACTATGCTATACATAATCCCTAACAGGAAGTTGGGGAATTGTGTGGAATATGAAAAATAAACCCCAATGGATTGAAATCTGGAAACCTCAGGATCCTGGGCTTTATTTACAAAATATAAGATCCCTGATGATGTGTAAAATCCATGTTCATAATCTGGGTATCATGATCCATCCTGGGGACTCTCACTATATGGTTTTTGATCTGTGTTCCATTTTAGTTCATGGACAGAATGCAGCTCCTTCTTATGCCAGCTAAGCACCAGCCTGACTTAATTTACCTTCGTCATGTGCCCCTGCGCCGAGTCCACCTCTTTACCTTCATCCAGATGCTCTGTCTGGCCGTGCTCTGGGTCCTCAAGTCAACTGTGGCTGCCATTATTTTTCCAGTGATGGTAAGGAGTCCCTCTTGATGTCCCTCTAGCTCCTGCATGGAAGAAACTCAGAGGCCACAAGGGAGGTTGCCTTTGTGCCCTGCAATTGTTTAGGATCAAAATTCAGTCCAAATTAGCAGTGCTGATCCCCCGTGTCATTTAAGTACTGGAACCACATAACCTCCCTCTGTATGTTTTATCATGGCAACTGAGGGCTGCTGGAGTCCCCCTGCTGTCTGGGCCTGTGAGTCTGATGCCTTCAGTGATGAACCCCATTGCTGTGGCAAGGGAGAAACTAGCCCTGGTTTGGAATGGCCAAAGCTTCCACGTGGAATCTCCAGAAGGTACTTTCTAATATCCAAACTAAATTCCCTCTGCTGCAATGGCCTCAAACTGCAGCGGAGGAAATTTAGGTTAGAGAAAGAACTTTCTGACTATGAGGATGGCTAAGCAATGGAACAGGCTACCTAGAGAATCTCCTCCATCCCTGGAAATTTTCAGGAGCAGGTTGGACAAACACTTGGCTGGGATGGTTTGGTCAACGATGATCCTGCCTTGAACCTCATGAGGTCCCTTCCAGACCTACTTTCCTATGATCCTATCTGAGCTCTTGTTTTGGCCCAAGCTGCTGGCTCTAGTGGGGATACGGAAGGCAATGGAGTACATCTTCTCCCTGCATGACCTCAGCTGGCTGGATGACATCATGCCTGAAACAGACAGGAAGGAGGAAGACGGAAAATTGCCAAGAAGTCCAGAGGCAGAGGAGAGTGACAGTGAGGAGGTAGGTGAAGAAACAGCATCATGTCCTATCTCCTTCAGCCTAGGCATAGGGGAACTAGTCATCTAGCCAATGATCCGTTCAGGACTGTTTAAGTAGACTGAGCAATGGACTTGGTGACAGGGAGCAGAAAGTGTCAGGGACACATAAGAGCATGGGACAGGAAGAAATCTCAGGTTGTTGAATATAGTCTCCATATTTGCAGGCCATGATTTACCCAATTATTCCCCAAAATCCTGACTTCAAACCCTCCCACACAACTACAAGGCACAAAATCAGAAACCGAGTGAACATGTTGCAGCATGCCAGAACTAAAAGCATGGGAAGCAAGGGTGCTTCTAATGCCATGTCACAGCAATTTTAGTGATGTAATTGGTTAAGAATGAGGAGACTGGAAGGGAAGGAGCACAATTTGAGGCAAATCGTGGTCGAAGCACATGTGGAGGGAGTCAACATGAAGGTTGGGAGGGAGATGAGGGGATGTGGATGAAGGTTGGTACACCCCTCATCAGAGATGGTGCCCAAGATCTGCACAAACTCATTCTGTTCTCTGAGAGTCCCAGCATGCCTCTGGCAGAAGCAGGAGAGATCTGTGGCGGTTTAAAGCTCCACTTTTTATTGAAAGGCAGGTTTAGGCACTGTCAGTGTTTGCAGATGGCTGCATCAGGCATGTCCTGGGACCTGCAGCCACGTTTCTTACAGTGATGATTCCAAATACATCTGCAGTGGAGAGTGATATGAGACTTTGAGAAGAGTTGTTCAACAGTAACTTCTCTTCACTGGCTCTGAGGCCTTTTCGTGGGACTAGTTACCATAGAACATCACCAGACCCAGAGCAGCAAATCTGACCAGCTAGGTGGCCAGTACAGGCTTCTGTGAATGTCTGGGATAGGTATGTGAAAGGTTAAATGATGAATTATTTAACTGATAAGCCCAGTGATAGCTGGTGGGGCACAGTCTGGCAGGGAAGTGGGGGAAAGGAAACCAGAAGGCAAGAGGGCATGCAGGAGGGGAGGGAGAGAGGAGGAAGGGATTGG